GGACGTTAACATGACTCGAAGCATCTCAGGGCAGTTCTTTTCCACAAACAATGCACATTCAAGGCTGTGGGCGTTCTGACCATGTCTAGAAAGTAATTGCTCTGGCTTTCTCATCTTCCCGGAACATGTCCAACCCTGCAGGTGGTCCTAGTTAGCGCTAGTTAGTGAATGTTAGTGAAAGGCTTGCTCACTGAGGTTTTTGTGCAATCACTCTGAAGCAAGGAGAGCACAAGTTCAGACCTTTCTGCAGTTCAATGTTCTCATATCTTGCTGAGAAGCTTGTTGGCCCCGGTCAGGTTCAAAGACTTCAAGGTAAAGCTTGCCTGGTTGCAATGGCTTTCTGAGAAAGCCCAAAAAGAAAATTAAACGCGCAGAAACACAGCCATGCCCACTAAAAAGCCATGCAGCAATGCGACTTGGTGGAAAAAAAACTGCGACTTTGGGCCATGGGTATGAAATGGTATGATTTAGCTGCCGAGTTGCTGAGAAGGCTGCCAGAAAGCTCAGCAACAAGGTCCTTTGGGACAGACTTCGGACGCTACCCAATTCCTGCATCGAGAATTGGGTCCACAGGTCAACAGGTCCAGAGGCTCAAGGTTGAAATTGTTTTGTCATGTTTTGTCCAGTCGTCTACACGAAGGTGCACTCTATCCGATTCTATCTAAACACAATGAAGCAATCCGGTTGCCCAGCAAATGCTCATAAGATAAGGCTGTCTAGAAGTCAAACAGGGTAATTACAGCAGTAAACAATGGTGTTCTCTTTTGGTGTCGTTCAGTTAGCAAACACTGGCCTATAGGAGCGTATAGGGCTTATATGCTTTTCCGACAGTTCATCAGAAGCAACGGGTTCGAAAAGGTTCGAAGCATTAGCGAGTCGTTGAGGCATTCGGTGTCGTTCAGACTTTTCTGGTCGTTTTCGCTCGTTTTGGCTCCTCAACAGCAAACAGCACACCTCCCAAGGGCGCACCAAAGGCCGTAGCAACACCAGCTGCAGCACCGACACAAGCCAACCTTGGTGCATGAATCTGCATGAAGCTCCAGGATTACTCGCACACATTCTGATGATGACGCCGCTGTTCTCACTAGCAGTGGTGATGAATAGGTTAAGGTCACAGGCGGTCACAGGTCTTACATGGTCTTACCCTAGCTCTCCCTAACTCATCCATCAAAGCAGCTCATGAAAGGGCATCCCTGCCCGCCGCCAGCCAAATGCGCCACAAATCCGTTGCAACGTTGATGCAATGCAAACGCCGATATGGATTAAAGGTCCCTCCTGTGTCAGGGAGGGATAGCAATTAAACAGTTATGCAAATGACCTCTTCATCTCCACCTGCTCGGAACTGCCCTGTTGGATCTATCGAAGAAACAACAAATCACCATACAATTCACAACACCTCCACTCCCAGTGAGAAGTTGCAAGCAACACTAAGATGCTGCTGAAAAGCTCCATGAGCTAGAAAAGCAGCTTGATAGCCTTATCATGCCTTATCTATCCCTATCCATCCAGCCATTCGACAAACCGCGCAACTGTGACAAATCGATCACGGCCCACTATGTGGCAATGCCCCTCCTTGCCCAAGGAAAGGCCCGCGCCCACAGCCAGGCTAAGCCCCAAGGACTTGATCAATAGACAGGAACCCGTGAAGCTCAACGGCAAATCATAACCTCATTGAAGAGATCCCGTGAAAAGTACGAGTCTCAAAAAATGCAGGATTGTTTAGAATATAGGCATGGTACTGTAAATCACAGGGATGCTGGGCCATTGACATGTTGGCTGTGGCTAGACCCCAAGTTGATCCATGTCCTTCTATCTTTCACCAACTTCCGGAGCGGCCGCATTCCCCCACTCCCCACCGGTCATGTACCGATCCGCCAAGTGGCCCGACACTGCGGCCTTCACCTGGAAGCAGCGAGTGAAAACCGACAGGTGGCAAAGCTCGTGAAACCAATCACTTTTTTGTTTAATTACGACCAGGGCGGAAACCACCCCACGACTTCAACTGCCGGGTTTTCAGCCTGCCTGAGGCCACATCATTACGAGGAACAGTCTCTGCCAAATTTGGATGCTACACAGCAAGGGTCAGAAGTGACACCCTATGGCCTTAGGAACCCTTCTGATACCCCGTGCGTCTTCATTGCAAGAGTTTAAAGGGAAGGCATGGAATCCCGCGATACGCACTGGCATTCGCAACACCTATCTTGTTGAGCCCAACGTTTCTCTGTCTTGACCGGCAGTGCTCACACGCCACACAGAAGGTATTCCTGATGCAAGTATTAAGTCCAAGTCAAATCAGCCCTGTCAGTAGTAAAATAATGTAAAATATTGTAAAATAATGGTAGCCTCGCTCAATTTGTTCAACTAATGGTCCCTATCTTACCACCACAAGCAGTGCGGTCAGCTGTGCCGGCACCTCCGGAATGCCGCTTCCTCTTGCTGTGGGTGCATATTCATAGACCAAATAGGCCGCCAAGCCGGTGAACATCAGGGAAGCGAAGGTGTACATAAACCTTAGCCGGATGAATCTGGCACCTTCCAGAGAAAAGAGAAGGTGCCTGACCTTCCAGAGAGACCTGAGTGAGTGAGTCTCGTGAGTCTCTAACTATCTCTAACTTAGTCTCAGGAATGCATCAGTTGAACCATGAAATTGGACAGAATTCTGCACATGTCAAATGTACACAAGAAGACGGTGAACTGCTGATTCACTGCTGCTTTGATTGATGGGAGCTCAGCTCCGGCACCCGAACATCGCCGACCTCTTTTGAGAGTTTCAAGAAATGTTGAAGCTCTTTGTTCCGTTCGTAGCGTCCTTGCTCCTAGTAGTACGGCCAGGAGCCCCTAGTAGCTTCTTTGCTCCTAGTAGCAATGCCAGGAGCCCCTAGTAGCGAACCTTGTTAAGTAGCAACCTGAGATGTGGAAGTGGTCCAGCCAAGGAGCCATGACAGAAATTCGCTGCCGCTTCCACCGACTCCCAGCAAATGCGCCCATGGTATCCATCTGACACCATCGTCTCCAATCCTGAGTAGGATGTAGCAAGTCACAAGGTGGAGAAGGTATTTCGGACAGCTCAAGTCACCATAGTCACCATCGTCTCGGACTGGTTCGACTCTCTCGTCGTCTCGGACTTTCCAAAAGGACATACTGACATTATCTGACATACTCTCTCTGAACTTTGCAGATGGCTCCAACACATCGTTCTTTGAGAAGAAAACACCCGGTCGACAGCTGAGGCTCGCAGGCTTGGTGCACCTGAGATGAATCTGTCAAAAAGCGATGCAAAAATCCCGACCAGTTGGCTGAGACTTTACGTTACCAGCCCTGGAATATATATGTGGTAATCTCATGTTCATGCATGTTCGTATATGTTCATGCATTTTCTCCAGGCCTCATCTCAACGTACAACGACATGAAGTCAAGCGCTCTTAAGCCCTTGCCCCTCGCCAAGCGGCATCTCCTCCAGGAAGTCGACGTTTTCGGAACCTCCGCAGCATCTGTTGCGATCGGCCAAGAAGATGCCGTAGCAAAAGCCAAAGCGGGTATCCCCGAGGAAGTCGGAGAACAAAGCAATTGCGCTGCCTGCGTGATGGAAACAAACAGCGGCCTGACGTCAGTACACGTCAGTACATCCTGAAAGTGATTTGACCAAAGGAGCGAATTTCAACATTGTTGTGCACTGCACTTGCTTGAGAAAACACCTGTGATGGCAGTCAGCACACCCAACAGCAGCGCAATGAACCATGGAAGCAAGCTTCTGAAGACATCCGAAACCTCAATCCAGCAACAAGTGAAGGCCGGACATCCAAAGTAATTGCCATCATAAGCGAGAACAAAACAAAAGATAACTGAGACTGCGACTCCTTTCGAATCAGACCACATGTTGGGATCCAACCCGTCTCCAGAACCTCAAGCACTTGAAGTGCTCAAGGTTCAAGTTCGATTGAGCACATGTCCTAAAGACGGAAACTCATTCACCTGAACGTCATCTTGTCCGAAGGATTCCGCGATATTCCGCGGTTCACGCGTTCCCCTATGTTGCCGTGAGCACCATCAATCGCCACGAGGACGTTGCAGCTAAAATGCCTTGACGTTGTAGCACGTTGTAGTCGGTTCGAGGAGATTCGTTGGACCAAGTCTTCTCAACCGGCAGGTTTGTCATCCACCTGAAAGCAACGAAGGGCGCTCGTGGCACAAAGGTGTTCTATTCTTAGAATAGTTAATGCATTGGGTCCCAAGCATTTCCAAGACCATCTAAAGGCAAAAGCTTGCTTGTTCATGCAAAGAAAAGGCCCTACAAATAGAAATCTTTGAGACGCGAACGGATTGTTACAATTAAGCGTTTTGCCTCAAACATCTATCTCAGTTGTAAACTTCAAAAAACATTGTAAAACTTTGAGAATGTGGGAGGCCTTTTTCATCTGTGCTCTATGACGTGCAAAATCCTACGAAAGCATCGTTGGAGTTCTGATCTTTCAAGCGGGTGGGAAGTGGGGGTTCAGCTAGTTTTCAACCGAGCAAGTTACAAGGTGTTCAACTGTCGCTGTCTTTTTCATTTCACAAATGCGAGCCTGGGCCAAATGCCATGTAGGTGACTGTTCGGAGACTATCAAAGGCCCTTCCATGGCAACAGCCGTGATTAAAAGCCTTAAGTGAGCCTGAAGTAGTTATGTTTATGGAATATATATAATAACGCGCCCAAAAATGCTCCAAATGTCAGAACCATAGGCTTTAGAATGCCCAAATAATTGTGAATGTGCTCTTGTCTTCTATATTATATATATATATATATATGTGCACTGTATATATGCTGTACGCCTATCCGGCCTGCAACAATGCGAATGGAAAAGCTATGGATGCACTTTGCTGTTGTCCGTAGTCTGTGTTCAATAGAGCCTTTGTTCGAGAAAACTGCCTTCCAGAGATGTGCTGCTCGGAATGGGCCGTACTGCTGATCTCTAGCTCTAACCTCTCCGCACAAAGTGTACAGAGTAGAGTGGTCACACCTCTCGAATCCCGCTTGCATCTTGACTTTGAAGATGGTTCCTCAGTCACCGCTAATATGCTGGACTCGCTGGACCATGCAAATCATGTGATATGCCATGCTTTGCAGCTTCACAGTACCACCTGACCCTCGTACGAAGGCGATTGGTTGCAGCTTCATCAGCTTCACTGATGATATCTGGAATCGCATAGAAATCATTGACTCAAACTGTTCTTCTTCATTCTTCCCTATCTTCCCTTTTCTTAGCATTCCGACGGCTTGACGAGCTTTGTTCGGCCCTATCGGCCACAATTCCTCTTCAAACAAGTCCTGCTGTGCTGAGCCCAAGACAGCTGCAGTGCAATAAGAGAAACCTCAAAATAAGTCTCTCTCTTCCAAGAGGACACACTCATGTGATTCAACAAATTCTACAAGTTCATGGTTCATCAATGTTCATGACATGGGCCGCATGCGGCGAGATCTCGCATACGATATCATACGATGAATACGGTGAATACAGCGAAGCCAGGGGCAGTGGGTCGGTCTCCACGCCGTCTCGAAGGTTCAGACGGTGATGGGTGTTCGGGTGGTTCGGGTGTTTGAAGTCTGGCTCTTCAGTTCGGGGGTCTTTGAGAGCGACAAGCGTCCACGAGAATTTGACAGCGTTGGAAGTGCTGAAGGATGCTAGTGAGAACTCATCTCCAGCAATATTATTCAACATGAGCATCTCCTGGCCAGGTTCTCAAGGTCATGATACAACCCCCTCAAACACTTCTGTCAAGGTGACTCAGGACAAGAGCATCCTAAGCCAGTCTGAGGGCAAAGCTGCCAGAGAGGGCCACATCGGCGTGCCCAGCTTGCCCCAAGCTTGCCATGACCGGACGGAACATCTGTACAATCAGTTTCAACAGCTGGTGACTACTGGTTCTTTCCTCAAAGCTCCAAGCCCACAATGTTCCTCCAAATGCAGCTGTTTTAGGACATCCAGGCTTTCCACAGGCTTCAAGGACAAGCTTTGCAATCTCTATACAAATCTCTTTGTCACAGAAGAGCCTTCTGTGTCTTTGAGTGTGTGGCATTGAAGACTTCTCCAAGCAAACAATGTACTTGAGCACAGCTGAGCCAGCAAATCGTGCGTGCTTTTCGCGCTCAGCTGGGTTTTGTGTGGAATGTAAATTGCCACGAAAGGCTTCCACCTGACCGCCATGGAGTAAGGTGATACAGTAATTACGTGTACACACATCCACAGACACTAGTTGCATGGGTCAAACAGGTATATAATTATAGTGAACCAAATATGCAAACACGACATCTGAACAACTTGATGGCTTTCAACATGCTTCAAGTTCACTCGAAACTCACCTGCAAAGCTGCCATTTTCTGCTTCAAGCGTCTTCCGGGCGGAAGTCTGCACTCTGGCGGGCTGTGTTCCCAACAACCCGTCGACCGTCATATGAGATCTGAGCAGCCGTTTTGTGCCAAAACTGAGGCTTGGGGAAGCCCTTCACCAGGAGGAAGCAGTGCACCATGCGTGAAACACGCTCCAACTCGGTTTGTCATGGGTCCGTATGGACGACCGGTGGGCGGCATCTTTGCATGGGTGAAACGGTGAATACCCTTGTGGGACTATAAGACAATCACCGCAACCCTCAAAGGCCCTCAAAAATCAATGAAATGACAGGCATTGCGGGCAATGCCCCCTTTCTTCGATTCGCGGGCAGCACTTTGAGGTTTCGGCAAATTCAGAAATTGTAGCCACGCATCTCCCTTTTTGGAAGACATCCGTCAAGTACTTTGTGACAGGTGGACTTCGCTTGACGGGGGGAGCCGAATGGATTGATACATCCTCGCTGGACTCACAGGAGGCATCGTCCAACGAGGGTGAGTCTTCGGGTCTTGAGACGAAGGCGACCTTCCTTTTGGTAGCTGACTTAGTAGCTAGAAGCTTCTAGGTGGAGGCCATCGCTACTAGTAACAAGAAGCTACTAGTCTTTTGGATGAACAGAACATCATAAACACCCTTGTCTCCAAGGGTGGCCAAACATCTCCATGCTTGGGGCCTTCCTTCATCAACATGACAAGAACGCCTTCCTTTGACTGTTCTTCATGTTCCCTTACTTCTACCCCACCCGCAAGGAGCGCATCAAAGCCGCTTGTCACCTCCACCGCAGGGCAGGCCACGTTTCAGGGCCTTCGCAATTGGCTGCAATACAAATGAGTGTGCTTTAGTTGCTTTAGATTGATCAGCTCCAGTTGCTTTTAGATTCTTTAGATTGCTGGTAAAGCAAGAAAAGGCCAACCCTGCAGCCAAGAACCATCGCTGAATTCTGAGTGATTTGAGATCAACATGAACAACGTATTATAACTGCTGTTCCTGCCTCCTGCCATCGTTGCGCATCTCTATGAGTCTACGAGTGTAATTATTGCTGAATTCCAGTTCATTCATCTGGCTTCCGCAGTCACTCGGTCTATGCGGCATCGCAAGACACCCCTCCTCCCCACTCCACGCGCTCCCGCGACGCCTTGATGCCAGCCTTGGCGACCTTTGGACGATACCACGACCTTGGAGCACAGCATGTTGATTCGTTTTGAAGAATCTCAAGGCATTGGAACCAAAGGCGGACAAAACATGAACACCATGTTGGTATGAAATCACGGTGTCAAAAAAAAGCAACAATGCTCAGAAACCACCAAGTCTTCTTTAAACTACTCCGCCACCTCCCTGCAGACCGTGCGACCCGTCAGCCGAATACCCCCCTTCCCAGGCTGAGAACGTCGACATGCGACCCATTTTGGTTAGGCTCCACACGGTGCAGGGCCTTCGAAAAGCACCTCCAAATCATTTGTGGATCTGAAGAGAAAATCTCTTCTGAAAAGAACATGGTCAAGAGAAAAATAAGTCCTCATCACGGTTATCTTTGAAAAGAGCTCAGGGTGTAACCCTGGCATTTATGACATAATGTACTATCATGTAATATATGTATTGTATATATTGCATATCATGTTCCCGAAGTGTTTCAGGCTCCACATGAACTCACAATGACAAGTTCTATTCGACAACTGCAAGGCAAGCCAGGCTGACGTCAGTGACTTTGAAGTTCTGGGCAGCGACCTGCCATCAAATGGCAGTCCGGAAACGTCCGGAGAGATATGAACAAATTCCAAGCCCTACAAACTGACAAATCGGCCATTCTGTTCAAACCAAATTTCACAGATCCACCAAAAGGTTGCGTCATTACGAGGCTGCTACAGTGCAATGCCTCCGTGTTCCTAATTCAAACAAAAGAATCTGTGGGACTCATACAACCAATCATCACCAGCTCATGCGCACAAAAAAACACGCAGCGCTTGGCTTCTCTCCATTCATCATTGTGTCCTCCATTCATGACAGCGTTCTTAATGTTGCTAGCTCCTGGCACTTGTAACTTACACAATGAATGATTGCCAAGTGGCAGTTGCGGCGGCCAATGAGCAAGGCGGAAGCAGCGCCGCCTGCGTGTGAAAGCAAGGTTGCCGAGCCTCCGCAGCCTCTTGGCATGGCTATCCAAGGGAGAGTTCTTCAAATCTCGCGAATACCGCGAGGCGCGTTGAAAATGGTCTGACGTCCAACACACGTGACGCGTTTGCGCCTTCGACCTGGCAAAGCCCCAGTCTTTAAAACGCTGGGACCTCGGATTGAGCACCACCAAACATAATGCAAAGAATTTGTTGCAAACAAATTTGTGGCAAATTCTTCTGCAAAGCTCAGGTTTCGGCACACTGCTCTCGGCCTCAGGTCCTGGTCAGTTGTTGTTTCTGTCAATCGCACTGCTCTCAGCTCCATGAGTGGCTCCATGATGCTTGTCTATTTCTATCTATTTCTGACCTAGCAATTCTTGCCTTCAATCAATTAATTGAGGCCCCTATAATAGAGGCCAAAGATGGCCAAAGCGTTTGGTGGAACATGTTGTCGTGTGTCATGTTGTTTTCCCCGTGTTTTCTCTATTCCGAGCGCTGCAAAGGATTCAACATGATTCAAAGTTGTCCTTGTGGCGCTGCAGACTTCGACTGCTCATCCTGTTGGCCTACCTATGCAGCGACAAGGCACGTTACATCCAAGCAATTCAATGGTGTGTTCGTGCCCGAACTATCTGGTGCTCCAGTGGATTTGAGGCTTCTGGATTCTTGGGGTGTTTCAGAAACATCATATTGAATCATATTGACACAGATGCTGGAATACAACTCCCTCACGAATGGTGTGCACAAAACAAATCGTTTTCTTGGAAATCACCGAGGACCACTGCTTTCGAAGCCTGAGATCCCAGCTGAAAGGTCACCACGAATAAGTCTCTCCGCATCGCTCTGGATCTGAGCGGTGATGAGTTTGTTTGAATCCCTGAACAGGTGGAGCATGTCAAGGTCTCCCTCTGCTGTTCACTTCTGCATTCACCCAGTTTCACCATGTTTCACCTTCGAAGCCACAACTGGGGCAACAAATCTCCTATTCTGTCTCTCTATGTCTCTCTTCTGCGTGCTCCAAAGTATGTTGACCAGCATCAGACGAACCAAAGTCTCTAAAAGGGGCCAGCTAACCAATGTGCCCATCCGACGAACTGCGCTACTTGGCTTCTACGATTAATTGCAGTCTTCTTTTTCAAGAACACAAAACAAAGTGCAATGAAGCCAGAGTGGTTGGCACTTGGTGTGTCAAATATAAAGCTGGCATCAGCTTCCTCGATGGCCGCCGGACACTCCTAGACTTCTGGAAGACTGTCTAGTCTAAACATCTTCCATATCTCTTAGAGTAGCTCTTGTTGACCACCCGGCCTGCTCAATGGCATCACGCCCGCCCCACACGAAAATCGGTCGTGGCGTTGGGCGACTCGGCGATGCCTCAAACAAGCGTGACGCAGTCCATGCGGCTTTTCCGTTGAGTAAAAATGGCTTTACCGTACAAAGCACAACTGAGTCGCCATGGGATCTCTGGAAGGATCGACGATGAGCTCCGCAAAACGACGACTCCAATTTCCAATGTCGTTCACCAGTGTGCAACCTCAGCAACGACGGCGTCCAAAACAGGACAAGCACAGTGTCACAGTACAGCATGATTCTTTACGGTACTCTTTCTCATGCAGGTTCTTGTTAATCTTGTCTGGTCGCAAGATAGAGTAGAGTCATGTAGAGTCTACTCTTATTCAAGTAATTCGAGATGACCAACCACCTATTAAAATCGCATTCAAATCACATTCTTAGGCATTCTTGCTTCGAATTGGATTGTGTTTTTTCCCTTGAGGAGCACATCTCTCAGGATCCCTGCTCAATCGATCCAATTTCTGGACATCTGCTTTCAGCTTGACTAATCGCTGATCATTGACGCCTGAAGATGTATCATGATCGGAGAACGACCAATAGAGAGAGGCAAGCGCATGTCACGTCTTTGTGGCATGAAGCGGGCCAGACAGGTCACATTCTTCAGCAATTGAACACCATGTTTTGGATGTCCATCACTTGGATGTCCATGTGGATCAATGTGGCATATGTGGCAAATGGGAAATCCTGCACTGATGAACGACGTTGAATGACCAGGTATAAGGTATAACGGTATACCTGTCAAGATACGACGATACACCCAATCATGAGGTTGTTTTTCCACGCAAAGCCAATCAACGTCATCATGGATGTGCCCAGGCATGCGGCATGCCCCACCCAAAGCGTGAGCACTGGCAATCGCTTCCAGCAATCTTTGCCGCCGAAGCCTGGAAGCGTGTCAGATCAAACGAACTGGTGACGCTGAGCGTGTCAAACGAATGCAATGACACTTGGGACGGCATGACTCACATTGTATTCAATGAATTGGTTTAAGGGACAATCTGCAGAAAACCCTTGTTTTCATCCCCAAAAGTATAGCTTTCCCGTAGATTTTCCCTCAC